TAGAGTCTTTGGTCTATATAAAGACTTGGTTGTATTCTCATTTGTAAGAAGCAAGAGTAAAATAAAAATAGTACTTCTGTCATAAAGAATGAAGAAAGGTGTTTCTGGTTTTATTTTCAATATATACCCCTACGGGTATATAGTATAAGTAGCTGCAAATTTCCTGTTGTCAAATTGGCATCAGAGCTTATGGCAAACATGATGAATCTAATGCCGTTGCCGTGACTAACGAAGTTAAATTACGAAAACTGGAGTATCCAAATGAAAGCTCTTCTTGGATCTCTAGGCGCGTGGGAGGTGACCAAAAATGGGTTTGAAGAACCAACAGACACTGCGGGATATTCGGCAGCTCAAAACAAGGCATTGAAAGAAACGCGATCAAAGGATAAGACGACATTGTACATGCTGTTCCGAGCAGTTGACGAATCAGGCTTTGAAAAAATTGTCGGTTCGACTACGTCGAAAGAAGCATGGGACACGTTAGAAAAAGTGTTCAAAGGAGCAGATCGAGTGAAGCAAGTTCGACTCCAAACCCTTTGTGGCGAATTGGAGAGGATGCAGATGAAGGAGTCAGAAAAAGTATCTGACTACATCACGCGTGTACAAACAGTGGTGAACCAACTCACCAGAAATGGCGAAACGGTGACTGATGCCCGAGTTGTCGAAAAGATTCTGAGATCTTTAACAAAAAAAATTTAGAATATTGTGTGTGCAATAGAAGAGTCGAAGGACCTTTCAACTCTCTCAGTCGAAGAGCTCACTGGTTGTCTCGAAGCACACGAACAACGTAACATGAAAAGGAAGGATGAAGCAGTCGAGGAAGCACACAAAACTAAGGAGCCAATCAAAGATGAAAAGGTACTCTACTCTCAAAATTTTAGAGGTAGAGGACATGGTCGTGACAGTGGTCGAAGTGGTCGAGGCAGCAACTTCGAGAGAGGACAGTCAAGCCAGCAAAACTGGCGTGGCAAAGGACGTGGACAAAGAGGTGGTCGGTCGAACCACTCCAACATCGAATGTTACAAATGTAAAAGTTATGGTCATTATGAAAATGATTGCAACTCTTACAAATGCTATAACTGTGGTAAAGTAGGACATCTTGCAAAAGATTGTCGAGTCGAAAAGTTGGTAGAAGAAACAACCAATTTAGCTTTGGAAGCCGAAGCAAATGAAATTTTTCTGTTGATGACTCAAAAGGAAGTAGACGAGAAAAATGACAATATGTGGTATCTCGACTCAGGGGCAAGTAATCATATTTGTGGTCACAAACATCTGTTTAAAGAATTGCAAAAGATTGAAGATGGTCACGTATCTTTCGGACATGCATCAAAAGTGAAGGTCGAAGGCAAAGATACAATTTGTTACTTGCAGAAGGATGACTTGACTGGGTCAATCCAAGAAGTTTATTATGTACCAGATCTAAAGACCAATATTTTGAGTTTAGGGCAACTCACAGAAAAAGGTTATTCGATATTCATGAAAGATCAGATATTACACTTGAAGGACAAGAAAGGGCATCTGATTGCTCAAGTCGAAAAGGGGAGAAATCGAAGGTACAAACTGAACTTGAGAAGTGTTCGAGAAAAATGTTTGCAAGTAAATATCGAAGCTAACCATATTACCGAACTGATTCATACCGACATATGTGGACCTATCACTCCGGAATCTTTCAGTGGCAAAAGGTATTTCATTTCCTTTATCGATGATTTCTCACGAAAGACTTGGGTTTATTTCTTGAAAGAAAAATCTGAAGCATTCGAGGTGTTCAAAAAGTTCAAAGTAATGGTGGAAAAGGCAACTGACAGACACATCAAAGTTGTTCGATCTGACAGAGGTGGTGAGTATACTTCGATAGCTTTTATGAACTATTGTGAAGAGCAGGGCATAAGGAGATTTCTAACTGCACCATATTCACCTCAGCAAAACGGTGTGGCTGAAAGGAAGAATCGAACAGTTCTAAATATGGTTCGATCAATGCTAAAAAGCAAGAATATGTCGAAAGAATTCTGGGCAGAAGCGGTACAATGTGCCATTTATGTTCAGAATCGATGTCCACATTTGAAGTTAGAAAATCAAACACCACAAGAAGCATGGAGGGGACAGAAGCCAACAGTTTCTCATCTCAAAATATTTGGTAGTGTGGCTTATGCACATGTACCGGATCAACGAAGAACGAAGCTCGAATACAAAAGTCAGAAGTAAATATTCATTGGGCATGATGAAAAAACAAAAGGGTACAGGCTATTCGACCCCATGAGTAAGAAGGTGATAGTGAGTAGAGACGTTCGAATAAATGAAGCGAGCAAATGGGACTGGAACAGTTCGACAGATGTCATCGTCGAAGATAAAGAATCATCAGTTGTTGTACCAACAAGCATTTCAACAGATCTTGAAGATTCTAACAATGAAGATGAACCACTACAACCCAGAATGCGAAGTCTACAAGATTTGTATGATATAACAGAAGAGGTACATCTTGTATGTCTTTTGGCAGATACTGAAAACATTAGCCTCGAAGAAGCATTGCGAGACGAAAAATGGAAAACTACCATGAACGAAGAGATTAAGTCAATTGAACATAACAACACATGGGAACTATCAGAATTACCAAAAGGAACTCAAACCATTGGTGTGAAGTGGGTATTCAAGAAAAAGATTAACGCTCAAGGCGAAATAGAACGGTATAAGGCGAGACTTGTTGCAAAGGGATACAAGCAAAAAGTAGGAATTGACTATGATGAAATATTTGCACCCGTTGCAAGAATGGAGACAATTTGATTACTCATCTCACAAGTTGCTCAATTCAAATGGACAATATTTCAAATGGATGTCAAGTCAGCATTTCTAAATGGTGTGCTCGAAGAAGAAATTTACATCGAACAACCACCCAGATACATGAAGAAGGCGCTTTATGGGTTGAAGCAAGCACCACGAGCATGGAATACACGCATTGACACATACTTCAAAGAGAATAGTTTCAAGCAATGTCCCTACGAACATGCTCTATATGTAAAGAAGAATAGAGGTAATATGTTACTTGTTGCTCTCTATTTTGATGATCTAATTTTCTTGAGTAACAATGATCAGATGATAGAAGAATTCAAGGGCACCATGACATGTGAATTCGAGATGACAGACTTAGGTCTGATGAAATTCTTCCTTGGTTTGGAGGTTTGACAAGAAGAAACGGGAACTTTTTATTTCATAGGAGAAATATGCAAAAGAAATCTTGAAAAAATATAAGATGGAAAGCTGTAATCCGATTTCGACGTCAAAGGAACAAGGTGCAAAGTTGTCAAAATTTGATGGAGGAGAACGTGTCGAAGCAAGTAAATATCGAAGTTTGGTAGGAAGTCTTAGATATCTCACATGTACAAGGCCAGATCTTTCACTTAGTGTCGGAATTGTAAGTCGTTTCATGGAGGAACCGGTCTATACACATTGAAAGGCATTGAAAAGAATTCTTCGATACATCCAAGGAACTGTGTCACTTGGAATGTTTTACTCAAGAACAGAAGATTACAAGTTGATTGGTTATTCTGACAGCGATTGGTGTGGAGATATAGACGATCGAAAAAGCACCTCAGGATATGTGTTCTTTAAGGGAAACACTGCATTTACCTGGCTTTCCAAGAAGCAACCGATAGTAACGCTTTCGACATGTGAAGCTGAATATGTGGCAGCATCTTGGAGTGTTTGTCATGCAATATAGCTTAGAAGATTGTTGAGCAAAATGGAGCTAAAACAGATAGATGCAACAATAATACAAGTGGACAACAAATTAGCAATTGAGTTAGCAAAGAATCTAGTGAATCATGAAAGAAGCAAACACATCGATGTTCATTTTCATTTTATTCGAGAACATGTGAAGGAAGGAAGTGTCGAATTGAAGCATGTAGCAAGCAAGGATCAAGCAGCAGACATTTTTACAAAACCATTATCGAAAGAAGTTTTCGACAGAGGGAAGAAATTAATAGGCATGACAGACAGTAGAAACATTTAAGTTTACAGGGGAAATTTGTTGAATAAACCTTAAATGTTATTTTAAGGGAGTTTTAATTTTAGATGTCAGTTATGAAAGGTCAAGAGATGTTAGTTATGAAAAACCTAAAGGTTAATGGCGTATTAATAAGAATTGAATTGCATTTTAATTCCTAGAATAGTAGAGTCTTTGGTCTATATAAAGACTTAGTTGTATTCTCATTTGTAAGAAGTAAGAGTAAAATAAAAATAGTCCTTCTGTCATAAAGAAAGAAGAAAAGTATTTCTGGTTTTATTTTCAATATATACCTCTACGGGTATATAGTATAAGTAGCTGCAAATTTCCTGTATTTTCAACTCCAAATTTTCAAGATCAGTTCAAAAACAGCAAAAACGAATATAAAATCAATCCTATTGATAAGGTCCCCAATATTCGAATTTAAACTCAATCAACCAAGACTTATTGTATCATGCTTTGACTAAATAGATTGAATTTATTTTCATATAATCTCATTGTGCCACGTACTTGGTTTTCTTAAGTCTTAATAATGTCAAACTTCAACGCTAATTGAAATTCAAAATTTGAAACGTATGAAAAGTAATGGAGACAAAGCTTCGGGCGCATTTTCAATTGTAGCATCCCCTGTGCCAGTGCTCCTCTTGAATATAATTTCTTTTACTTTTCAAAAAAAGAAAATCATAGTAGTTTCTTCGTGTTCAATAAGAAAACTAAAAACAAATAATGTTTTAACTACTTGAAAAATCTAATAATTACCACCAGATTATCGTATTCATTGGCTATAGTATGTTGTCCGAATAATATACTATGAGATATAATTATATCTTACTATATAAAAATAGTTATATAACTCCATAGAAATCATAAAACAATTATATCTTACTAAAAACATTGCGGACAAATCAAGAAAGTTTCTATGAAGCACCAAATTATATTATACTTTCGAAACAAAACGAAAGAAACATCCACATAACAGAGAACAATAGACTAGAAAAGAAAGATGGATAATAAGAGGCACTTCGTGTTGGTTCATGGAGCATGCCATGGAGCATGGTGTTGGTACAAGGTTGTTGCTCTATTGAAATCTTCTGAACATAAAGTCACAGCATTAGACATGGCTGCTTCTGGAATCCATCCAAAACAAGTGCATGAACTGGATTCCATTGAAGATTATTATGAACCATTGGTTGAATTTCTAAGATCATTGCCACAAGAGGAGAGGATAATCCTTGTGGGTCATAGCTTGGGTGGGATTTGTATATCTATGGCTATGGAATTATTCCCAAAGAAAATTGCAGCTGCTGTATTTGTTGCAGCTTTTATGCCTTCTCCTGATCTACGCTCCTTGACTCTCCTCCAAGAGGTATTAAATGATGAAATTGCACACTGAAATCGACAATTTAGAATATTATATAGTTTCATTTTGCAAATTGCAGTATCATGAAAGATTGGATTCCAGCTTGGATACAAAGTTTATATTTGACGAAAACTCAAATAATATTAAACAAAATGGATCTATGATATTAGGGCCACAATTCTTAGCAACCAAGTTGTATCAACTATGTCCATCAGAGGTATGTTTTTTGTTCACAAATTATTTGGGAAATAAGATATTTATAATAATATTATTATCATTATTTTGACAATGTTGATTATATGAACTAGGACTTGTCTCTTGCAATGATGTTACTAAGGCCTCTTTGTAGTTTTGGTGATCAAGAACTATTACAAGAGAAAACAAGTGTAACAAAAGATAATTACGGAACTGTTGTTAAAGTTTACATTGTGTGTCAACAAGACAAAGTGATCAAACATGATTTTCAACTGTCAATGATTGAACGGAATCCTACCAGTGAAGTTAAAGTGATTCATGACGCTGATCACATGGTCATGTTCTCTAAACCTCAAGAGCTTTATGCATATCTTCAAGAAATTGCTGACACCTATTATTAGCAATTTAGTATGCTTTCTTATTACTAATTTGAATTTAATATTTATTATGACAAAGAAAATATCAAATTTATCACTCACAAAGTTGAATGTTAAATAAAATCGTTAGTTTCTCTTTTACTATCATTTTTTGTTTATTTTAGTTTCTAAATTATTAAAATTGTTTTGGCCTGGCCCCCGCTTGACCGGGAAGGCCCAACCCACTTACACTTGGTGAAAGGTCCAAATGAGTCCCCCTCATCTGTGCCAAACACGAGGCTCCCGTCGATTAGACATTGTCCCGTCGGACAGGACGCTTCTCTCGTCGGGCAGAAAGACGTGTGTCTCACACGTTCTCCACGTGCTCCCCTCCGCGAGGACACGTCATCAATTAACTGCCCACCTCCGAAAGAGCAGGTAAACCCACTCTCCGGAGTTCTCGGAGTAGTTGAACTAGGGCGAAGACCACGTTCTGGTCTTCACTACGCCACATAAGCCGTAGCAATCACTTGGGTTGGGCCTGGCCATCCAGCCCAACTCAAATGACCGTTGGCCCTGCGCTGGGGTCTCTCTATAAATACCGTCTTTCACAAGAGGGTCGGGTATTCTCTTCTCAACGTACTTTCTGTATTTGCTCTCACTTTGTCCAATTCCTTACTTTGGCATCAGAGTGTCTTGCAGGTACACCCCCTTTCTCCTCTTCAACACCGGTGAACAGGCAGCAAGTCAAAGACGCGTGGCAGTCCAGTGATTCCCTTCTGATCAGGTCAGATCAAAAACCTATTCTGAATCTATAAAGTTTTTCTCAATCAATTTATTTAGTTCTAAAAAGATTAACAAAAAAAATTAAAGACGAAAATTTTTTCTCAAACATAATATATGTATATGTTTTGAGTATTTCAGTTTTATGTTTGATTGAATTTCCTAAAAAGACCTATATATAGTATTGAAAAATATATATATATATATATAGTGCGGGCTATCAAATCTATTATGGGCGGTTTCGAAATTGTTTTTGGCCTCGGTGTTAATTTCTACAAAAGTAGAGTTATAGGAGTAAATGTTCCTTCTAATTTCCTACTGCTGGCTGTTTCTCATTTCCTATCCTGCAAAATTGAAGGCAGCAATTTTACATTCCTTGGCATACCTATTGGCTTCAATCCCAGGAGAACTGCAACTTGGAAATCCCTGGTTGACAAAATTAGTACCAGACTCGCAAGTTGGAGAGGCAAGTTTATGTTTATTGGCGGCATGGTCACGATAATAAACTCGGTCCTTGGCAGCTTGTCGATTTTTATGATGTCTTTCTACAAGGCTCTCCCGTTTCTATATGGAAGAAGATAGAGAGTATTCAAAAGTGCTTTCTGTGGAGAGGGACAAAGGAAAACATGAAGATTCACTGGATTGCTTGGAACTATTGGATATTCTGGTTGTCTGAAATATGTAGTAGCACTTGAACAAAGAAGGTGTTGATGAAGATTGCACTTGAACAAAGAAGGTGTTGATAAAGATTGCACTTGAAAATTCAAAGTGTGTGAATTTCACACTAACCTTTAGTTTCAAATCGTCCCTACCAATTGTTATATTTTGGATGCAATAAGGATTAATGACGAATTCTCTTCAGAATATTTTGAATACCTTAATGTGAATTGCACAAACACACTAAGTTTATCTTTTGATAATAGTTTACCGAAAATTGTTTCATATACTTCACTCATGCATTAATGAAGTAAAAGATGATTATAGAATAATTGAAATGGTGAACAATTGATGTGAATATGTCTATTTTCATGTGCTTTTTCTATTTTTCAAAAAAGACCTTTAGCAGTATTTTTTTTTCATTTAGCAGTGCTTAAAAGCGCTGCCTAAAGTGGCGCTACTGTAGGTAAAGGCAATGCTTTTTTTCAAAGACAAAAGCGCTGCTAAAGGTCCCCTTTAGGCAGCGCTTCTTTATAAAAGCGCTCTATAATGTCACCTTTAGGCAGCGCTTTTAAATGAAAAGTGCTCTCTTTCCCCCTCCCCCTTTAGCATCGCTTTTTAAAAGCGTTGTCTAATGTATTGTTTCTGCATATCTTTAGCAGCGTTTTTTAATGAAAAGCGCTCTCTCCCCCCCCCCCCCCCCTATAGCAGCGCTTTCTAATCTATTGGTTTTAGAAGCGCTTTTAAATGAAAAGCGCTCTCTTTCCCCCCCTTTAGCAACGCTTTTCAAAAGCGCTTTCTAATGTATATTTTGTTGAGGTTTTAGCAGCGCTTTTTTGTAAAACGCTGCCTTAGGTCCACTTTTGGCAGCACTTTTCTTAGAAAGCATTTTTTTATTGATGTTAATGGATGTTTTCAAAAACACTTTTTTAAAAAGCACTTTTTATGGAAGCATTTTTTGTTAGAAGCGCTGTCTCTCGTGCATCTTTTTAAGAAGCGTTTTTTGTTAAAATCGTTGGCATAAGTCTTATTTTTTACTTATAAAATAGAACCACATACCATATAGGCCTTATATACCTTTAGAATTCAACACATAAATCTGCTTATAACCATTATAATTCAACACAAGCCTTTATTACAACACATTGGCTATATACCATTATAATTCAACACATAAACCTGCTTATAACCAATAATTCAACACAACTTTATTTCAACACATAGTCCTTATATATATACCATTATAATTCAACACATAAACCTGTTTAATTCATACAAACCTCATAACCATTAAAATTCAACACATAAACCTGTTTAATTCAACAGAAACCTCATAACTATTATAATTTAACACAAACCTCAACACAAGCCTCCATAATTCTAATAAAACATATCCACTTACAAAACCTTTAACTTCTAAATATTCATTATACATAATTACAAGTTCCATCAACTCACAATAACTTCTAGAAGTACAACAACTTGCAAAACTATACAACAACTTCCAGAAACTATTTCTATTCAGTAGTACAGAACATCACAACTAAAATCTCTAAAGACCATAAACTTCACACAAAATAAAGAAATACAATATATACCTTATATAATTCTCGTCTCAAGAATGTATTGACACCAATCTTCCTTAATTTCTTCCAGTTTACCTTTCGAGTAAGTAGTACACTTGAATTCATCAAAGTATTACATAATATAACATAATATGCATGATTTAGTTAAAACTAATTAATATTAGATGAAATATATATCCACTAAATATTAAAATAAATCCTAACTTATAAATCTATATTGTGTTTGAAATCTCTATTTGACCCAAATAAAGAGTTTCCTTCATAAACCTCAATACAAAATAACTACAATCTATACCATAACGCTGATGATGACACTACACATAGAAAAAAAAATGAATATATATCAGGACATATAGTTTAACTTGTTTTATCAAGTAGTATCACTATTATAATCAAAATTGTGAAAATATACCTGGACTCTGAGCCATGTAATGTTGTTTGTTTTACTTTTGGTACTCGAGCTTGTCGTTGTGATCAGAATATTTGCATCGATCTAACATAATATAAACGAATATTTAAAACAATCTCACATAATAAATAAATATACACACGAATATTCAAAACAATCTCATCACTTACGTATCAACCATCTTCTTCATATCTGGGTATTTTGTTTGATCACCATCTAACGAATCCAAATAATATACTATTTCTCTTATCGGATTAATCGCAACCAACAACTAGTGTCCACTGCAAAATAATACAAAAGTTAAGATGGAAATTTTCTATACAACGGAAAAAAACGAATAATTATAATAAATGATATTAGAATGAATGATAATCCATGACCAGTATTATATGGCAAAAAAACATAACTTTTATGTATCTCTGTTGGCCATAAATGCAACGACTAAGTAATTTTGGACTGCATTTGGACTTTGTTCGATTAACCGTATGTTGATATAGCTAGCAGATAAGAATGAGAAACTATTTGTCAATTGACGCAGAAACATCAATTTGACATACAAGAACCTTAAATAGAAATATAATCAACATTAGAATATTCATTGGAATGAGTAAATAAATTGTTCAATTATTTAAACGAAACTGATCGGAGTACCTGATGTATGAATGCATAACACTGATGCCTAATTCAGAATGTTGAAAAATCTGATCCAAATCCTCTTTAGCAATTGTTTCGGTATAAGCAAACCCAAAAATACATTCCTCTATAGGTATTTCACGAATACCATCTTCCATCACATCTGTTGTTCCTACGTATGTTTCAAGGAACAACCTAAATTGAGGAACAAATGCTTTTTTAGGCTCGGTCTTCGCAAGTTCCCTTTTTTTTACACATTGCTAAATTCAGGCATGATATTCTTGTTGACTTGTTGCAACTCCTGAGCATGAATCTAAAAATCATATAAGTTAATTAATTAATGTATAAGATTATGAAGCTTTTGAATTCATATGGTATAATATAATTGACACTTTATATGCATATATATACAAATGTGCCTGTTTTTTTGATGCAACTGACCCGGTTTGTCGCAGAGTCTCCTTATCTTTTGATTTGGATTTTGTAGGAGTCTAAGATTACCATGTAAATAAAAGGTATGTCAATGTAAGAATAACTTACATGCATGGCTCGTAAAACATTTGAATACTAAAAGGTTCATAATGGTGATTAATATACCTCATCATCTATGAAAATGAGGTTTGATGGCCATGCAAAATACGATTCTATTGCGTCTTCCACCAGTGTTGCATCTGAAACATTGTCTGGTATAAGTAATAATGCATTCTCCTCTAAAGCAATATCAATCGAGACTTTCAAAAATTCAACAGGGAGTGTTTTATGGTGAAGTAAGTCTCCCAAAGTGTTATGCACTTTTTCCTTGCCAACCATGCGATAAGTCGGTGACGATAAATAGAGCTAACAAGGTGAAATGCCCTAAACCAATAATAAATATGATTAAGCACGTAAATATGGCAATTAAAAAAAAGTGATAAATTAAATTCAAAGTAATATACATAATTACCTCTGAAAGTTTCTGTTGAAAATTACAATTGATA